CCCCTGCATATGGGGTTGTGCAAGGTTGGTACCCAGAGGGCCCAGGTGTCTCGTGCTTCAGTATCAACGTGGATGCCTCAGGGCAAGAGCAGGAGACACGCACTGGGGAGGACTCAAGGCACCGCTGGGTTGTACCCGCACGAAGTGAGCTGAAGCACGGAAGTTCTGTCATCCCAGCAACAGCTGGAACAGAACACGCAGCTCTGTCATCCTTACAATCAGCTGCAGAGCCTGACTGCAGAGCAGTTTGCCCTGGAGCCACAGGAGATGAGTCTCCTTAAAAACTGCCATACAGCTCCCCATGGCGTATCCTGAGGTTGGCCGTGGGCTACCCTGAGCCTATCACCTTCTTTCCATCAGGGTTTCCATTGCCGTTCATAAAAAGCTGGCCTGTTCCACATGTCTCATAATTATCATTGCCCCCAAGACCCATCACAGGCTACAGACATTCCATCTCCCAGCAGAATGTCACCTCCCACCTGCACCTCACCCCATTTAACCACAGATGAAAACCTCAGGAATTTCGATGCCTCTCTGTGCCGAGGGTGACCACCACCCACTTTCCATAGCAAGTGTCCTTATTGCCATCAGACCAATAGATAATTCAATTTCACAATCCTACGCTGAGAGTCTTCTTTTAAGGGCCACCCTTGGGACCAATTGTCTTCGGGGGCAAGTGTTGAGGTGTGGCCGCGAGGTGAGGCGTGGAGGATTGTTTCTGTGTGAAGTCAGCAGGGTTGGTCATCACCGAGGGGCTAGGACAGGACGGGTCAAAGGCCCCAGAGGCATGTGAGGACCAGAGGTTCTGATGTGGCCTGAAGAGATGTCTGCTACAAAGGCGTATCATAGATTTTCTTTCCCAGCAAGGCTTGTCCTATTTGCATTTATTGATGTAATGTGATGGATAGCTTTAGCTCTCCTTCTGGCATCTGATTTTATATTATGCTTGCTCTCTTCACTGCGTCCTTTGTTTTGCATCTTTTGCTCTGCGGTGTGTCTGTGTGTTTTCTTCAGGTGATTTCACTGCATTTGTGGCAATTTGGCCCTCTCTTTCTTCCGGAACCAGCAGACTTTGTCAAGACAAGATGTGTCAGATATGCTAAGATGTGTTGTGAGGCATAAAATCTAAGACTAGACACACAGGCACTTCTTGTTGGTTTTACTGTTGTCTGTTTCTGCTCTACAGAAATCCTGGTAAATTCAGTTTTGTCCCATGCACACCAAAAGAGGAAAAAAAAGGTTGGTGGGTTTACAATGACATGTGCGGCTTTAGTGAGAACATTCCTGAGTAAACGTCCATTTTGACTAAGGTTAATAAGAACCAATCCTCTGCTTACGGTTTTACCTGTCTGGTGAGTAGGAGAATTTTCTACACACTAGCTTCCGGTTCCTTATGTTCCACAGTTTGGTCCTTGTCCTCTCCCCACGCGGTCTCAGTGCCAGGCGCTGCAGCATACATTTCTACTGTGATGGGACCCCTTGTCCTGCACCTTTGAGCCCTCCTCTAGGTGAGTTGGCACAGAGGCTGGTAGGGCCCTCCTATACCAGGACAGCTTGCAAAAACTGAATGATAGTGGGAAAGACTACAGACCCCATAAATCTATCCCACAAAGCCCAAACTAAATGTATCTCATGTCAACTGTTCTCTCATTCAGGTCCATTGCAATATCATCTGATGTGAGGCAAAGGAAAATTCAGGCAAAAAAAAAAAGATATTGGTCTGAACTGACTATACCAAAAACGGTCCTACCTGTGAAAATTTTGTAAAAGCATATGCCCATATAAACATAATGTTTGGGGCCCTCAACCCTGTCCTCAAAAGGGGCCGTTGAACTGAGGGGCCCAAAGCTTAAGCTGTCTCCATGTTGTACCTCATGGTTTATAATTTAATATAGAAACATTAGTAACCTACAAATAGGTATAAGGAAGTCCAACAAAGTTCTGGTCTTTTCCCCGTGATGATTGGTGCTCTTTAGGAGATAAATATGTTTAAAAAATGTTTTCTTGTTCTTTTAGCTTCCTGTCTTGCTGGTGCCTGGTCTACCAGTTGTACTGATGGGGTGAAGTCATAGAGCCCAGTAAGCAAGGGATTACTCTTCTCAGAAAAGAATTTACAGCCGTGCTGTCCCATAGAACTTTCTGCAATGATGGAAGTGTCCTGTGTCTGTGCTGTCCAAAATGGCAGCCACTAGCCACATGTTGCTAGCTAGGAAGCCCTTGAAATGTGGCTGGTGAGACGGAATAATTGAAGTTTACTTAGGTTTAATTAATTAAAACTAAAATTAAAATAGCCATATGTAGCTAGTAGCTGCCACATAAGGCAATGGAGATTTGAAGCCATTGGAGCGGGAAGTTGACAGATAGGGGGGCACACCAGCCATGTGGTTGCAACTAGCCTGGGGTTTTTTGTTTGTTTTTCAAACCATTTTATTGAGGCATAATTGACATACAAATCGCTGTACATATTTAATGTATACAACTTGATGAGATTGGAGATAAGTACACACCCAAAAAACCATCACCAAAATCTATGCCATAAACATACCCATTGCCTCCAAAAGTTTATTTATTACTATTATTATTTTATGCGTGTGATAAGAACACTTAACATGAGATTTACCCTCTTAAGGGTGCTTAGGTGGCTCAGTTGATTAATCGTCTGCCTTCGGCTCAGGTCATGATCCCAGGGTCCTGAGATCGCATCTTGCATTGGGCTCCATGCTCAGCGAGGAATCTGCTTCTCCCTCTCCCTCTGCCCCCCTCCTTGCTTATGAGCTGTCTCTCTCTCAAATAAATAAATAAAATCTTAAAAAAAAATTTAAAAAAAGATTTACCCTCTTAGTAAATTTTTAAGTACATAAATCAATATTAACTATAGGCACTATACTGTACAGTAGATCTCTAGGTCTTTATTCATCTTGTATACCTGAAACTTTGTACCCCTTTGACTTCTACCTCCCCATTTCCCCCTCCCCCCAGCCCCTGACAACCACCGTTCTATTCTCTGCTTCTGTGAGTTTGACTATTTTAGATTCCCCATGTAAATGAGATCATGCAGTATTTGTCTTCCCGTGTCTGGTTTCTTTCACTTTCAGGTTCATCCTTGTTGTTACAAATGGCAGGACTTCCTTCCTTTTTTTTTAAAGGCTGAATAATATTCCATTGTATGTATATACCACATTTCCTCCCCCATCTATCCATTGATGAACATTTAAATTGCTTCCATGTCTTGGCTATTGTGAACAACGCTGCAAGGAACATAGGAGGGCAGGCATCCTTTTGAGATCCTGGTTTCAGTTCCTTTGGATGTACACCCAGAAGTGTGATTGCTGGATAATATGGTGGTTCTATTTTTAATTTCTTGAGAAAGTTCCATATCGTTTTCCACAGTGGCTGCACCAGTTTACATTCCTACCAACAGTGTATCAATGTTCCCTTTTCTCTACATCCTAATACTTATCTTTTGTCTTTTTGATACTAGCCATCCTAACAGGTGTGAGATGAGATCTCATTGTGGTTTTGGTTTGCATTTCCCTGATGATTAGTGATGCTGAGCAGCTTTTCACGGAGCTGTTGGCCATGTGTATGTCTTCTTTGGAGAAATATCTATATAGTTCCTTTGTCCATTTTTAAATCAGATTATTTGGTTTTTTGCTATTACGTTGTAGGAGTTCCTTAAATCAACTAGGGAGTTTTGAAGAGAGAAAGCCCAGAGATAGTTCTGCTCAGAGCCCAGTAGGGCTCTTGTCCTTCTCTCTCAGACTTTCTGGAACAGCCAGGTAGGCCAGACTGAGGAGGGAGGAGGGGAGGTAACTAAGCCATTTGACACAATGCCTAGGACCCATGAAAATGTTTTAATTTCTTTAAAAAATTAGAAGAAGAAAAGAATTTTTAGGCTGAAGAAAATGTTTTAATATATAATATTAATGTATTCATCTTTATGTCAACCCACCCATAAAATATAATTTAAAAAAAATTTTTTTTAATCAAGGAAGGAACCCTTGAAAACAAGTGTGTAGGACCCACCAAAGTCTTAATGTGTGTGTGGGGAGAGGGTGTTTCCTCTACCACTGACAGCTCATCTTGGACTCCCAGGTATCTAACTGGCCACCTCCCCTTTGAATGCTCCCCCAGAGGCCACAGATGGGTCTAAGAGAACCAAGGTTCTCCAACAATCCCAGGGTCAGAACAGACTCCTGCACCCAGGCTTAGAAAATGCCCCTCTACACTGTTACATACTTGGGCAAAGGGCAGTAGGGAGCTGGGGAGGGGTTCAAGAACTGTGTGGGAAGGCAGAGAGGGGAAATACTATGTTCTAGAGTGAGTTTATGAATCGTTACCACCCCTCTGATGCTGACCCCATAGAGGAGGAAGCATGGGTTCAGAGAGGTTGAGACACTTGCTCATACTCACACAGCTGGGATTTAAACCTTAATAAGTCCTTGATCTGACACCCAAGCCTAGGCACAGATCCCTGGAACCCCTTCCTCAGCCACTGGGGGACCTTGGGCAAAGCATAAAGAGCAGCTTCTGTGCGGACCACCCCGCCATCCCTGAAGACTGTTCCCTTTTCTCCATTCCTGCTCCTTCCAGAGCTGATCCTGTAGGATCTCTGGGCCTCAATTTCCCCTTTGTGCGTGTGTTGGGGCGGGGGTCTCCCTCTAGTAACCAGAAAGGGAGGGAAAGGGGAGGACCTGGCTCCCCCCACGCCCACAACGAGGCCCCAACTGCGGCGGGTCTTCCCGGAAGCCCACCTCCCGCGCGCGCCGTCCCGCGGCAGGAATGGGGCTCGGCCCCTTTAAATCCCGCCCTGGCAGGCCGGGCCCGGACCGCGCCCTTCCCGGATCCGCGCCTGGGAATCGCTGCCCGGCGCGCGCCCCCCGCGCTCCCCCGC